TTGAAGATAGTCCAAGCATATCAAACATTTAGATTGGCACCTTTGTAGACAATGATTGTGATAACCATGTCCACACGTGAGTACACTACAATTGTTCAAATTATAGTTAGTGTAATCACAATATACATAATTGCAAAAAATGTTTGTAGATGGTTTCTTAGAAGTAACAAAGCCTCTTGGAAGGTGACAATCGGTTATTTCGTAAACTAAAGAAGGTAATTTGTATGAGTTAATACCATTAGATGAAGTTTAGTAATCAAAGGATACTGATTTCGTGCTTGATATATCTTCATAAATACATCTAAAAGCAATACAGAACACTTTTGTGAAAGCATATGCAATTGCTTCAGTGTATATGGATATTTCACAGTATCTATGAGATATTGCCGAAAAGTATTATCCTTAGAGTTGTTAGTCAAAAGGTATAGTTTCAACAAACATTTAGGCATTTCGACTGTCGAAATATATTCGACAAGGTCACTTGATTTGCCGTAATGTCGAAACATGTCGAAATGTCGAAAGTCTAAATTGATGTCGAAAGTCTAAATTGATGTCGAAAGTCTAAATACTTGTCGAAAGTCTAAATTGATGTTGAAAGTCTAAATACTTGTCGAAAGTCTAAATTGATGTTGAAAGTCTAAATACTTGTCGAAAGTCCAATTGATGTCTGAAAGTCTAAATATTTGTAATTATTAATGTATAAAACTGACTATTTGCACCACCAATAAATAATATTAGTAATAAATTTGAAAATGGGAGCCAACTTTTAATAATAATAAAAATAATGCAGGTTTTTTTTTGTTTGAAACTTGCTGATTAAATGTATATACACTAAAAATATTGATTGCATTCATCTTTTATCATTAATACAATGTAACTTCACTGTGACACACGGTCTCCAAGGAAATTTAATTTTTTCTTCCAACATTCAATTCAATCTTTATTGAATAAAAATTATAAAGTAGTAGATTTATAACAATTATAAGAAAAAAGCAAATTTCATAATTTTTTTTCAGATTCATCATAGAAAAATATAAAGTTTGTATTTTTTTTGCGAATTATTCCCAAGATTGTTATAAAGAAATAGATTTTATTTTTATTGTAATTTATATTAATAAATTATGATTAATTAAAGAATTTTTTAGTATATACATCTCATAATGGAAGAGGTATTAATATCACAAGATTATTTAGATCATTTACAAAGAGAAGATGGTAAATAATAGTTTTAGAAATTAAGATATTTTATAATTACTAGAATATTAATACTATTATTAATTTATAGATTATAGCACTTCTACAACATTACAAAGAAGATGTATCATTGAAGTGGAAGACAATAATGCTAATATTGAAGAAACTACAAAGTCTCAATCAAAACAATCTAATGGCCGACCTTTAGCTGGTGTTTGGAAGTTTTTTGATTATGATAAAAAAGAATCTAAAAATGGTCATCGTTGGGCTACTTGTTTTAAATGTAATATGCATTGGAGCCAGGGTAGACCTGTTGAACTTGAAGAGCATATTGCTTTATATTGTACAACTCAAGAAAAAGAAATAATTCAATTTTATTCTCAGATTGTTGCTAAACGAAGAGGCAAAGGTAGTCAAGCGGTGTCTTCTAATGTAATACAGGGAATAGAACCAACTAAAAAAAAAAGGAAACATAATCCAGGTGTTCTTTCAACCTTAGCAATTAAATTATTTTCTGTCCATCCACATTCTGCTAGCTGCGAACATATTTGGTCATGTTGTGGGTGGTTTCAGGGAGAACGTCGAACTCAATTAACATCATCACATTTAGAATCCATGGTAAAAATAAATAGCTTTTTGATTTCAAATGCAAAACAAGAATTGCAATATTATGGTGTAGATTTGACAGAAGAAGAATTGTTGGGTGTTTTTCAAGAAGCTGCTTTGGTAGCTGAAACTAATGATGATTTAGAAGAATTTGTTGACCTACCTGATGATTCTAATATTGAATATGAAGATCAACAATTATTGTTAGACGATTTAATGGATTTAACTAATCCTGAATTTGGCAATGAAGATAAGGATTCAAATAGTGAGGAAAATGATGAAAATGATGATAATGACACAGATAGCAATAATGAAGATAATGAATTTGATGAAGATGAATTTGGAGCAGCATTTGTACAAAGTTTACAGAATGAATAGAAACATATAAAATTTGTGTTTAATTTTTTTAATTTTATACCATAAAAAATTTTTTTTAATAAATAAAAATAATGATATATTGTTAAATATTTTTGATATTGTTTAAATAATTGAACTGCACTGTCAATCAATGCCTGAAAAGGGTATAATTTAAAGCATTTTGACAACATTTAGGCATTTTGACATTATTTAGACTTTTGACAAGTATTTAGACTTTTGACATCAATTTAGACTTTTGACATCAATTTAGACTTTTGACAAGTATTTAGACTTTTGACATCAATTTAGACTTTCGACATCACTTTAGACTTTCAACATCAATTTAGACTTTTGACATCACTTTAGACTTTTGACATCAATTTAGACTTTCAACATCACTTTAGACTTTCAACATCACTTTAGACTTTCAACATCAATTTAGACTTTTGACATGCCTAAATGTCGAATGATGAAACATTTCAACAAAGCTCAAAACGTTTCAACTAACAACTCTACACCACAACAGGTTGCAACTGAGTTAAATAATGTAAAGTATCCTGAATATTATGGAGGAGATCAGGATCCAATAACATGGCTAGAAGAGATGGAGCAAGCTTTTATTGCTAACAGAGTGGCAGATAACAGGAAGATACCAGTAGTGGTACCAAGACTAAAAGCAGGAGCAGCCACATGGTGGAGTCAAGTAAAGGAAGATATAGATAGATGGCATGATGATAATAATGCTAACACAATGGCAGCAAGTTTTGTTCCAAACTTCCAAAACAAATATAGGACTAGGGTTATGGAAGAAGGATGGGCAGTGGCATTGGAAAAGAGAAGACAATTACCAGGAGAAACTGTTGATACTTTTGCAGCAAGTATCTATGAATTATTTAGAAGAATTGAACATGGTGGGAATGATTATCCAGACAGAGTAAAGGCTAGAATGTTCATGGAAAGGCTACGGCCAGAACTATCAATAGCTGTCAGTCCTTTCTTACCTGATACTATACAAGATTGGGGTGTTACAAATTATAATAAACACAAACATAGTTGAGCACACATATAAAAAATTATATATGCGGATTTTTCGCCGATCAATATATGTAATATAAAAATACAAACTCTATCTCCTCCACACTTGCCAAATAAACCTCCAATTAAAATTGACATATAAGTATTTCATAACATATACTCCAAAACAACGTCAATATTTTTTTAAATTTTTTTTGTTTTATTAATCTTAATTTTCAAAATAAAACTTTAAACAAGAATAAAAAAAAATTTTTTTTAATTTTTTAAAAATCTATCAAGGTTGAGTTGAAGAGTAAGTTACAAGCCTTCATTTGATTTATTTTCATAACTGTAGGAGCAAAATTGGTAGACTAGATAGATTTTGAAAATTTCGTATAGATTTATTATATAGTATATTCCCTTTTTTAGAAAGATCATCACGTTTTATATTATAAACTTTAAAACTAAAGCAAGTGTTTAATACAATTTGTATTTTAGTATAATTATTTTATGGTAAATCAATGTATCACAAAAATAAACGATTATTCCATGACAACAAGTTTCCATTTGAATAAAACGAATTAAAACGAATGAAACAAATTAAAATGAATTAAAACAAATTAAAACAAATTAAAACAAATTAAAACAAATTAAAACAAATTAAAACAAATTAAAACAAATTAAAACAAATTAAA